CCAGAAACTTGTCTTGTAGCTATAGTTAACTAGGATATATGTGCACTGATATGTATGTAAGAATATACTTTGCAGTAGTACTTGTAATTAGAAAAGTCTGGGGGAGTAAACCTTCAAGTATATTGTAAAGGACTAGCAAAAGAAATCATGAAATGTTCATATAAAATGAAATATTATGCAGCTATTAAAATGAAGTAAATCTATATGTTGATTTGAACTACTCTCTAGAATACATTTTTAATTGAAAATAATTACATTAAAAAAGCTATACAGAATGCTCCAATTTTTTTCATATGTATGCATTTATTTTCCCAGGTGGCACTATTGGTAAAGAACCCACCTACCAAATGTAACAGACATAAGGGACACAGGTTCAATCCCTCAGTGGGGAAGATCCCCAGGAGGAGGGCATGGCAACTCACTCCATTATTCTTGCCTGGAAAATCTCAAGGACAGAGGAGCCTGGTGGGCCCTAGTCCATAGGGTCACAAAGAGGCACAACTGAAGCTACTTATCATGCAGACACACACACATGCATTTATTTTAAAAATTTAGATATATTTTTTTAGTTCATGTGCTTTTTATGCTTCACTGTTTATCTCAGTAAATATTGTTCAGAGAGCATCTACTGTCTAAATTTACACATTAGTGCTTATAGACACAGCAACCATGCAAAAGAGATATTGAAACTGCAGTGTTGCCTCTGAAAATAATGTGGGTGGCTCAAGGTCAAAGCTAGATCTCTAACATAATTCTGTCTACCTCCAGAGTTTTATTTCTTCTCACTGTGCCAGTGATTCTCAAACCCAAGGTGATTTTGTCTACCAGGGAACATTTGTCAGTGTCGGGAAACACGGAGGTCAAAGCTGCTGATGAGAAAGGGTTTATACTAACATTCTGTGCTGTGGTTAGTCACTCAGTCGAGTCCAACTCTGTGTGACCCCGTGGACTGCAACCCACCATGGACAACTCCTCTGTCCATGCGGATTCTCCAGGCAGGCATACTGGAGTGAGTTACCGTGCCCTGTTCCAGGGGATATTCCCAATCTACGGATTCAACCCAGGTCTCCCCCATTGCAGGCGGATTCTTTACCATTTGAGCCACCAGGGAAGTGGGGTGAAAAACAGGAATACTAGTAAACAACCTACAAGACTCAGTAGAATCCTCCATTAAAAGGAACTGGCCCAAAATGTCGATAGAGCTGAATTTCAGAAACTTGTTCATACCAAAAAGACTCCTGATCCTCAGAGAACAAGTACCTGTACAAAACCTGACATTGTGACTGTAGGCCTGTTATCACAGTTTTTGATTAAAATAGAAAGCCTTAAAAATATATGAATAAAAACAAACACTTGGTGTTTGTAAAAGCTGCTGGTATGAAATTGCCTTGGAGAGGAAGATAGGGATAGATGGCAGAGAAAGGAGGGGATATATAGTTCTTTCATGTTTTCTTTCTTTTAAATGTAACTTAATGAAAAAGAATCAAGGTTTGCTTCTCTTATGTTTCTGTTTATACTTATATATTATATCATAATACAGAGAGTGTGCTTATCTTTCCCAATTTTGATTCGTTTACCAATTCAACCTTTTATCAAGTGACTATTTTGAGCTGGGCACCATATAGGTGCTAGGTAAACAGCAGGGCATGCAGCATGTAACAATTCCATTACTAAAGGGTCAGTATTCCTAGTGTGTATATATGAATAAAAACAAACACTTGGTGTTTGTAAAAGCTGCTGGTATGAAATTGCCTTGGAGAGGAAGATAGGGATAGATGGCAGAGAAAGGAGGGGATATATAGTTCTTTCATGTTTTCTTTCTTTTAAATGTAACTTAATGAAAAAGAATCAAGATTTGCTTCTCTTATGTTTCTGTTTATACTTATATATTATATCATAATACAGAGAGTGTGCTTATCTTTCCCAATTTTGATTCGTTTACCAATTCAACCTTTTATCAAGTGACTATTTTGAGCTGGGCACCATATAGGTGCTAGGTAAACAGCAGGGCATGCAGCATGTAACAATTCCATTACTAAAGGGTCAGTATTCCTAGTGTGGGAAAATAGTGCACCCTTGACACTTCAACAACATAGATTTGATCTGCATGGATCCACTTATACAGAGATTTTTTTTTCCACAGTAAATGCTACAGTATTTACTGTAATAGATATGCATTTGGTTGAGATCTTGGATGCAGATAAAGATGGAGAACATACTCAGAAAGCTCACTATAAGTTATACTTAGATTTTCAACTTCCAGGAGGGTGCAGTGCTCCTAACTCCTGAGTTTTCCAAGGGTCAGCTATGAAAGCAAATACTCAAGTAAAATAAAGTTTGTCAAGTGGTAAAAGACACTAATGGAGAAAATTCAACCCAGGCATAAGAACAGGGAATGCAGAGTTGATTTGGGAGAAAGGAACCAGAAAAATTACAATTTTCTGTGTAGATGTCACAGCAAGTTTTCAATGGGAATGGCAGCTGAGCAAGAATCTCTAGGAAGTAAAGGAGTGACTCATTTTCAGGTACTTGGGGGAAGAACATTTGAGGGAGACAGAAAAAACAGGAAATTCAAATTTACTATGGATCATATTTTCAAATACTTTTTGCTTTTAGGTGAGTTTTTGTTTTTATTTATTTATTTATTTTTTGCTTGTTTTAATGCTCTAGGTATTCACCTCACTCTCCTCCTCAATGGAACTTTTGCTATGTTTAAAACATTCCTGATGTGTGTGTGTAATTCTAATGCTGCCATTAAACTAATCTAGTAAAATAGAATATATAGTTAATTTATGCATATGAGCTAAAAGTAGTCATCTACATTAATTTTATTTCTCTAAAGGGAAGCTTTTAGTTTGCATGTGTTGAAATTCTTGATGATGATGAAATTAGTTCTGCCCCATGTGTTTTGCTTTATTTCCAATTTATTTTATACAAAGTTGCTATTAATGATTATACATTTTAATAAGAAAGAAGAGAAACTTCTAGTAAATATGATTATTTCAAGCTGTTATGGTTAATGTTTATAGAAATAACTATAAATCAGTCACATGAAGAAATTAATTATAGTTATTTAGAACAAACTTAACTTTGTAGAACTTATAGTTTGTTGCTTTAATTTCAAATGTTCTAAAATTAAAAGCTTGAATATTTATATGTTTATAAAATTGTATCATGCCAATGAAAATTATCTCAATTTAGAAAAATTATTATCATATTCTTTAAAGAAAGCTTGAGTTTTTTTGAGAGATTAAAATCTAGACACCAGAGTATGCCTTTATAAAATATTACTCAGTAGAAAATATTCATAACATTTGTGAAACATGGAATATAATGCTTGAGAATGATTATTGTAATGAAGAACTTTTAAAACAGTTCAGAAAAAATAATTCCTTCTATCACAAGGTTTGAAAAAAAATGTTAATTCTCTTAGGTATACAAATGATCATCAGTGCAATTATAATAGATATTTATATAATTAGTATTGTCATGTCTATACCTGAATTATGTAAGCATGTTCTACTTCAGAAAATACAGATGATGAAAAGCTGGCCAAATAGCATATTATTTAAAAAGATTTAAATGATATTTACTTCAAAATCATATTTACAACCACTTTTTCAGTAAAAGATGCAGTGATTTAATTGTTATATTGCATTTCTCTCTGTAATTCAATATATACAACCAGTCTATTTTAAATGTACTATAATTATGCTATGTATTTTCAGTGATTCTGCTTTCAAATCATACTTTTTCAAAAGGGATAATTTATTTTTTAGTGTAAAGTTAACAGTGTCACTTAGTTCAAAGAACTTTGAATACACCACCTAAATTTTCTAAGTCATCAGCCTTCTAATTGCCTTAATACTATTCATTAAAGTAACAGTAATATATGAAATATATCCAGGCAATTTGCCCAGTACTAAGTATAGCACATAGTTGTCTTCTCTAAGTACTCGAACTACCATTAATGAAAACTAATAGCCCATCAAAATTTTCATTAAAAGTACTGTGAGAAATCTCCAAAGGACTATATGTGATTTTATTCCAGCAATTTTTGTCACCTTAAATTGCTGTGTTCCAATATGTTACTCTTCTTAATGCTAATTACCTTACAGAATGGATAAATACTACAATTCCAAAGTACATCAAGTACTATTTTTTTAACTAGATTATAATTAGTGATCAGAGAATGGTTTCATTAACATAAATGGAATAATTAAATCATCTCAGCTTTATTGTACTTAAAAGCACTCAATAGTGACTTTTTCTCTTTTTGTAAACTACTAAAGGTTAACTTTTTTGGACTCATTTTCAGTAAAATTATATTGTTCATGTTCGTGGCATTAAAATAAGAGTAAATTTGAAAATGTATAATTCTTTGGAGTAGAGATATAACTATTTTATGTTGCCCCATGTCTCCCTTCATGTAAAAATAAGAAACAGTAAATGTTTGGAGTGGAAAGATTTAGTATGCTTTAGATTTATGATATAATTTTGAGTTAATATAATTATAGCAACATTTTAGTTAGAGGCAGAAAATGAATCAAGAGAAAGAATTAGAGAGTTCATTCCAAAGTCTGCCCATATTCTGTAGATATTATCTGATGTTGGAACATAGGAAATAACTTGGAATCATGTCTTGACCTGGTGAGCATGATTCATTTAAACTGAGGCTAAACAATCAGCCCTGAGTCCTTTTACTACAGCAATTCTGCTTATCCTTGGAGAATACATTCCAAGACCACCAGTGGATGCCTGAAACTGAGGATAGTACCAAATCCTATATACAATATGGTAATATTGATTAGCACTAAAATTTTCCCTATGATAAAATTTGATTTATAAATTAGGCATAGAAGGAGATTAACCATAGTAACTAATCATAAAGTAGAACAATTCTAAAAATATGTTGTAAAGTTATATGATCTCTGTTTCTTAAAATTGAACATGAAGTCTGACTGCTCACTGATCAAAAGCCAATAAAGAAGCAAGGTTGGTGGAAAGGAAAAGTGCTTTATTTTGAATGCCAGCAATGGCAGGGAATTGGGGTGGGTGGCTTCTGTCCAAAGGCCAAGTCACCTCCACTGACAATTGGTGGACAAGAGCTTTTATTGGAGGGAGTGGGTTACTTGCAGAAACAGCACACTCAGCTCTGACAGCCATCCTGAAATTGGTCATGCACTGGTCTGACCTGTGTTATGGGAAGTACAGTTAATCTTTCGTTTTAGGGTCAGTTTATTTTTTTCCCCCCAGTTCCTTGAGGTCAGTTTTCTGCATTGTGTCATGGCTACAGGCTGGTCATCATGTAGTTAACTTCTTCCACTTGGTGGGGGCTTCAGTATCTATAAGACAGCTAATAGGATGTGGCTCAGAATTCTATCTACAACCCTTGAAAAGGAACTAAAGGTCCTCGACTTTGCTTGGTGACTAAACTATCATTGTTTTGTCCTATTTGACAGATTTCATTTGCATCAGCATTTTCTTACTTCTCTGATTTTGCTTTAGCTAAAGTTTTTCTACAGGGCAAGGGCTTGAGGGGGGCAAGGACCATAGGGTCCTGTTCCATTTCACTGTGAGATGATAAAGTGACTGTGTGATGAGATGAGGTGATGTGAATGGATAGGTGGTATGAGATAGCATTAAGCTACTATTGATCTTCTGACTACCCAGCAGGAGGATCATCTGCTTAGGATAATCCTGGATCACCGAGCCATGACAAGATGGATGTCATGAAAAAGATGTTGATAGTTAGGCTCTCCAGCCAAGATAGAGCAGTGCTACGCAGGATTTCATCATGCTACTCAGTCCAGTGTGCAATTTAAAACTTAAGAACTCTTTATTTCTTGAATTTTTCATATAATAGTTTCAAATCTTGGTTGACCTTAGGTAACTAAAACCATGGATATTGAAACCTCAGTTAAGGGAAAGCAAGCGAAAGTGTTAGTTGCTCAGAAATGTCCAATTCTGCGACCCAGTGGACTATAGCCCACCAGGCTCCTCTGTACATGGTATTCTCCGGGCAAATATACTAGAGTGGGTTGCCATTTTCTTCTCCAGGGGATCTTCCTGACCCTGCAGTAAAATCTGAGTCTACTGCACTGCAGGAAGATTCTTTATCATCTGAGCCACCAGGGAACCCTCAGATAAAGGAGGATTATTGTATTTGACAGTTTGGTTCAATCCAAATTAGACTTTGATGGAAGTCATCTGATCATAGAGGATTTTGAGAGGTCATATATACCTAGATGTAGATAAATTAAAAAAAAAATTTGTACTTGAGTATCAACATACAAATTTCTGTTTTTTTTTTTCCTTTTTCATAATCAATTATCAGTAAAAGTTGAAATAAATGTCTATATCAATTTAATTTTAATTAGTAGTGTTCCATATTGAAATTATAACCATTCAAGGAATATCTTTAAAAAAGCAACCATAAACCATGTACACCTTTAAAAAAATCTGATTTTTTTAAAAATTCAAGTATCATTGTAAGTATAATTGTTGTATATATGTATACTGATTTATTACAGATGAACAGTACTCAAAAGGCAGGTGATGAGACTATTTTGTGTTAAATTGACTCATAGTGAGATTATGTGTGGGAAGGAAAAAGATTCTGTTACCTTGGAATAGAGATTAAGAGCTTTGCAAGAGATCTCTTGGCTCACTGGAATAGTGAGACATGAATAATATTTGTGCCATACTAAGGACTACTAAGATTTCACTTTGGAAGAACATTTTTGGTTTCGAAAAAAATGAATCTCACCTCATCATCTTGCCTTAATAGAGGCTTGACCCTGCAGTAAAATCTGAGTCTACTGCACTGCAGGAAGATTCTTTATCATCTGAGCCACCAGGGAACCCTCAGATAAAGGAGGATTATTGTATTTGACAGTTTGGTTCAATCCAAATTAGACTTTGATGGAAGTCATCTGATCATAGAGGATTTTGAGAGGTCATATATACCTAGATGTAGATAAATTAAAAAAAAAATTTGTACTTGAGTATCAACATACAAATTTCTGTTTTTTTTTTTCCTTTTTCATAATCAATTATCAGTAAAAGTTGAAATAAATGTCTATATCAATTTAATTTTAATTAGTAGTGTTCCATATTGAAATTATAACCATTCAAGGAATATCTTTAAAAAAGCAACCATAAACCATGTACACCTTTAAAAAAATCTGATTTTTTTAAAAATTCAAGTATCATTGTAAGTATAATTGTTGTATATATGTATACTGATTTATTACAGATGAACAGTACTCAAAAGGCAGGTGATGAGACTATTTTGTGTTGAATTGACTCATAGTGAGATTATGTGTGGGAAGGAAAAAGATTCTGTTACCTTGGAATAGAGATTAAGAGCTTTGCAAGAGATCTCTTGGCTCACTGGAATAGTGAGACATGAATAATATTTGTGCCATACTAAGGACTACTAAGATTTCACTTTGGAAGAACATTTTTGGTTTCGAAAAAAATGAATCTCACCTCATCATCTTGCCTTAATAGAGGCTAAATTATGGATACTTATTAAGTTGAAATACTTATATTCCCATTTGATGAACAATAGAATACATAAAAGTTACATAATTACAGAACATAGCCTTAACACATGCTCTCGGGAAAATTTCAAAATTATTTAACCATATGCTACCACTTGAAAATTTATCTAGACATCCCCCCCCGAAACATGTTTTTCTTCTTTGAAATACTCGATATACCTCCAATTTATTTCCATGTAAGTTAAACCTAAGCATTTGTGTATTTTTTTTTCTATTATGATATTTTGCCACCTATATTTTTCATAGGGAATTCTAATTGTGAGATACCTAGTCAGAGCTGGAAAATACTTGGTGTAGAATGACAAAAATCACATCTCCTGTTCGTCTTACCACTCTTTCTTCTTAAAAAGTCTTATATCAATAGGCTTACCATTTACTTTAAATCCCCAATTTAATGAGAACTGTGTTGTGTTGTGCTCAGTTGCTAAGCAATGTCTGACTCTTGCAATCCCATGGACTGCAGTTCACCAGGTTTCTCCTTCCACTGGATTTTCTAGGCAAGAATACTAGACTGAGTTGCCATTGCCTCTTCCAGGAGATTTTCCCAACCCAGGGACTGAACCCATGTCTCCTGCATCTCCTGGCGGGTTCTTTACCATTGAGCCACCGAAGAAGCCCCAATGAGAGCTATATGTATTAGCAAATTCACAGTTGCATTCTTTATTCAGGAACATTATATTGTGACTTAGTTCTCATATACCAAGTCCTTATCTTGTGAATTTCCAGGTATGAAAATGAGAGCACAATGAAGTGATTGCATAGGGATGCTCATCCTGAGATTCTTTATAAAAAGCATATGCTTTTTTGTTTTATGATTCACAATTGAAACATATGATTTAATGTTACAAAATTTAATGAGTTACAAAGTAAAGGATTATAAGATGATGCTCATTTTACAAACCACAATTTTATTTTTATTTTCTGATTCAAGAGTATTGCTCCAACTGGCAGCTATCCCATCCAATTCAATTGAAAGTCTTGAGTTGCAATGACATAATATTTTGGTAACGTTATTTAAATGGGCAATGCTTCCCTCTGAAATGTGCAATAATGTAGAGGTTTTATGTGCTTTTATTTTCAAATGAATAGATATAACATGTTAAATTATTTGGGAAAGACAGGATCATGGCAAATGGGAGCACCAAAGATCATTTATTTGTGACAGTATTTATTTTTTAACCTTTTCCCAGTAATATATTTATATTTACACCCACATATACATATTTCTAGTCAGTAAATTTTACAATATTAATTATTTGGCAGTGTCAAGAGTTGGGTAGTAACTACAACAACAACATTCGTATTTTAATAATAAAGACAGAGCAATAAATTATCCAGGATAGAACAGCCATTTGAAGCAATTTTTGAAATATTGGAAGCTTTTAATATACAGTGTGTTCAAACCAGAATGAAATACTAGTTCACTGAATCTCATATGATACTAGAAGAAGAAAACATTGCTCAAGAAGTACACTGTAAAAATGATTTAAATTAATTGAAGTAAAAATTTAATATTAATGCTGATCAGTAAATAATTTAAAAATGAGCAGAATAGGATCACTTAAAGATATAAGTAATATGTGTTAGCAAACTCTATTTTAAAACTTTATTTAGAAAAGCTAAAATTTATGATCTCTTTTGCAAATTATATATAAAGTTTTTTCAGTTTTAATTTGTCATAAACATTGATTTCTAGGTCAATAAATATGTCTAGGTCAATAAAATATCATAGTTTAGTAGTTTATGTATTTGACTGAACTAGGTCTTAGTTGAATTATGTGGGTTCGAGTCCCATGACCAGGGATCGAGCTTGGTCTTTCTGAATTGGGAGCAGGAGTTTTAGCCACTGAATCACCAGGGAAGCCTGATAATATCATTTTAACATTTATACCCTTTATAAATTATTTATGTACTATATATTTGGGTATTTAAAATGATAGATTTTTTTTTTTCCACAAAACTGAAAAACAAGACATGAACATAACAATACGGGTATATTTAGGACAATGTCTACTAGGATTAATACTTCCTGGGCACTATTCTACATAGAATCTGGTTACCAGGAACAGAGATTTTCATTCTGTCTCAAGTAGGGAAGAAATGTCTCATAAAAATACATATATTCCAAAATGAAACAAAAATTTTAACAAAATCCTGGATTGATAGAATGCCTGTCATACAGACTGGCCTGGAAGGTTAAACGGGTATAAAGCAGTTCTAGGGGCTTCAGCAGTGAAGTTAATGGATAGTTGGTCCTAAGTGACTCATGGTCCACTATGGCCCCTTCAACTCCATTTCCAAATGAGTAGAAGTTATAAGGGGGATAAAAGTGTATATGTGAAAGTGTTAGTTGCTCAATCATGTCCAACTCTGCAACTAACTCCATGTAGCCTGCCAGGCTCCTCTGTATATGAAATTCTCCAGGCAAGAATACTGGCTTGGGTAGCCATTCCCTTTGCCAGGGGATCTTCCCAACCCAGGGATCAAACCCCGATCACCTGCATTGCAGACAAATTCTCTACTGGCTGAGTCACCTAGGAAGCCCCATTATAGTGTAGCAATTTCTCATCTAACCCTTAGTGGTCTATCGACTGAGTAAGGCTTAGATTTTTAGACATAGTTGACTGCAACTCAGAGCAACAGCTGACTGAGGCTTCTCTACTTCTTTGTTAACAACTGTGACTAAGACAAGCTCCTCTTTTATTTATACATGTTCAGTTCAGTTCAGTCGTTCAGTCGTGTCCGACTCATTGTGACCCCATGAATCGCAGCATGCCAGGCCTCCCTGTCCATCACCAGCTCCCAAAGTTTACTCAAACTCATGCCCATTGAGTCAGTGATGCCATCCAGCCATCTCATCCTCTGTCGTGCCCTTCTCCTTCTGCCCTCAATCCCTCCCAGCATCAGGGTCTTTTCCAATGAGTCAACTCTTCGCATGAGGTGGCCAAAGTACTGGAGTTTCAGCTTAAGCATCAGTCCTTCCGATGAACACCCAGGACTGATCTCCTTCAGGAGGGACTGGTTAGTTTTAAGTTCTGAAGAGTCTTCTTTCTCATGAACCTGCTTCGTCAGTTTTGTTTTTTCTTCATTTAGTTTTTGTTTGGGAAGAGTGTCATTCAGAAAATCAATTTGAAGATCATTACATGACCCTGTATCAAGCAATTCAAACCCACATGCACTGATATTCCTGAAGGCATTGTTTAAACACATACTTTCTTCCTATTCACTCTCTGTGTGGTTTTTTTTTAATTACAAACTTCTTTATGTTGAAGTTGCTGGATTTTCTGAAAAGTTCTGATAGTTTTCCTTCTCTAATTTAAGACCTTTAACCACACTGTAAAGGAATTAAATGAAGATCTTGTTTTCCTTGACTATTTTCTCTCCATTTGCACTTATAGGTTGTCTTCTTTAACTAGTTTGGTGGGGTGACAGTAGATTGGCACTGGTCTGTGGAGTGCTAGGTAAAATCGCAGCTGTGCCTTCTAGACGTTCCACCTTAAAAGTGAAATTGTGGTTTACTTCGAGGAAAGGGAACTCTATACAAGTCCGCCACTGTTACTCAGATTCCAGTTCTCAGCTGTCTAGTTCCTCTGAGCCATCTCCACCTTCCCTAGCCACCCTCAGAGAGTGTAGAAAGTGCAAGCAGCTGCAGCTATCTACTTACTTTGATGTTTATTAAATCCTTTATTTTTTAAAATTTAATTAATTTTAATTGGAGGCTTATTACTTTACAATATTGTGGTGGTTTTTGCCATACATTGACATAAATCAGCCACAGGTGTACATGTGCCCCCCATCCTGAACCCCCCTCCCAGCTCCCTCCGCATCCCGTCCCTCTGAGTGGTCCCAGTGTACCGGCTTTGAGTGCCCTGGTTTATGCATCAACTTGGACTGGTGATCTATTTCACATATGGTAATACACATGTTTCAGTGCTATTCTCTCAAATCATCCCACCCTTGCCTTTTATTTATTTATTTATTTATTTTTAACTGGAGTATAATTGCTTTAGAGCATTGTGTTAATTTCTGTTATATAACAACGTGAACCAGCTACATGTCTATATATATCTCCTCCCTCTTGAGTTCACTCCCACTCCCACATCCCTCCCCTCTAGATTGTCACAGAGCAGTGAGCTAAGCCCCTGTGTTATGCAACATCTTCCCACTAGCTATCTATATGTCAGGGCTACTCTTTCAATTCTGTGGAGATCAGACTTGTGAGTCCTCTGATTTTTCGTTTATCTTCCTGTTGTTTGTAATCTCTTAAAGGAACCTATAACTGCTTGCGGAGGATGATCTTAATTACCGACCTTTGGATAGTCCCTCTTGTAGTCGTGCCTCACTGCTTAGTAGAGAGCTGGCCCTCAATCTGAGAAATGGCCCCATTGACCGTGACTTCCACGGGAGAAGCAGCAGACAAGTTCACCCTTGCTGCTTCCAGGGTCACTGATGAAACAGAACACGAAGTTTGAGACGCCGTCACTACTCCGAGAAAAAGTAAAAAGCTGTTTTCCAGGGTCCCGTTTATTCAGAGATATCAAAACAAAAGAAAAAAAGAAAAATCTATATGACTGCTCAGGCTCCACGTGATAATAATTCCAAGTGGCCATTTTTTCAATTCTTTGCCTCTTTCTCTCATTCACACACAACCCTTTTACCCAAAGCATATTCTAAGCATCAGCATGACAGAATTGGGGATATTTCTTGTATCAGCCTGTTATTTCTAGAACTAGAATTTTATTAGAATAGTGAGAGTTTATTAATTGTTATATATCTAGATTATATCTTTTCAGTATAGAGACACAGGGGTGAAAAAAGGTAGCTTCAGTCCCTATCTTCATGAACTTGCACTTAGCTGACATAGACAGTAAATGTATAAACATTTGTGAAAATGTCAGATAGGGAAAAGTGGTGTGAAATAAGATTTTCCATGAAGTCCTTTTCAGGGAGGTGCTATTTGAGCTTACATTTGAATGGCAAGCAAAATCTAGCCTTGTGAAGATGTCTAAGGAAGAGTTTTCTGCTCAAAGCTGTATGAAGACTGGGCTATGGGAGAGGAAAAGAATGGATGCTGGTGAACCTCATGGGGCTGGCATAGGAGTTCGGGTGAGATTCTGTAACTGCTTGGACTAGCATGGTAGCAGTGTAACTGGAAGCAGTGGAGATCCTGGAAATATGTAATTTGGATGTAGGTAACTGGAGTATATTTTAGAGGTTATGTACAGATCTGCTTGAATATAGACTGAGTTTTCTCTCAGTGGTTCTTATAATGCATCTCAGCGTGAAAGCAAAATCTCAGACTCTTTTAAATAACTTTTCCAGGACTGTGTTCTGTTCCTAATAAATTAGCAGATATATGTCAGTGTATTGGTCAGTGACGGCTGCCCTACCAAATACTAGACCAGATGGCGTAAACAATAGAAATTTATCTGCTCACCATTCCAGAAGCTGGAAGAGATCAATGTGTCAGAAGGTTTGGTTTCTCCCCAGGCTTCCTTGGCTTACAGGCATCCACCTTCTCACCACACCCTCCCCTTGTCTTTCCTCTGTGCCCACATCCCTGGTATCTTCTTGTAATGACACCATTCATGTATGGGCTGGGGTACCACTGTTATGACCTCATGGAACCTTAGTTACTTCTCTGAAGACCCAATTCCAGATACAGTCACATTGGGGGTTAGGACTTCAATGTCTGGATTTAGGGGAAGACACAACTCAGTCCAACATAGAGAAGGTCATTATCTAACTGAACCCTATGTAGACCTTGCTTAAGCTAAGCTCCTTAATAAAGGGGAAATGATTCTCTTAAACATTTCTCCTAAACAATGTATATGTAAAAGTCAAACAAAGAATTGCATTGTTGTCTTTGAACACTGTTAATCTCCCTTGTTTACAGAAGTTACAAATAGAAATTCAAGTTCTAATATTCTGCTTGTGTTAGTCAGTCCATCATGCCTGACTCTTTGCAACCCCATGGATTATGGCCCTCCAGATGCCTCGCTCCATGGCATTCTCCAGGCAAGAATACTGGAGTGAATAGCCATTCCCTTCTCCAGGGATATCTTCCCCATCCAGGGGTCAAACCCTGGCTCCTACATTGCAAGAAAATTCTTTATCTGAGCCACCAGGGAAACCCAATATTCTACTTATCCTAACTTAATAGGCCATTTTATATGGGACTTGAACTTGGTAATCACTTTGGAGTGATTGCCACGGGCAACGAGCATTATTCTTTTCCACCCTCAGGTATTATACTACTAATCTCAACCCGCATTCATGTAAATGAATCTAACTAGTGGGATAGAGAAATAAAATAGTTTTCCTTGCACCATCCTAGACTCTTGGCTGATATCCCGTAATAAAAGACAGATTGTGCTGTGTGTGCTTAATTGCTCAATGGTGTCCAACTCTTTGCAATCCTTTTGGGCTGTAGCCCACCAGGCTCCTCTATCCCTGGGACTTTTCAGGAAGAATATTGGTGTGGGTCAGCATTTCCTCCTCCAGGGGAATTCTGGTCTCCAGCATTGCAGGCAGATTCTTTACTGTCTGAGCATCAGGGAAGCCCAGAAATGCAGTAATTCATCATTAATTATGAAAAAAATTTCCATACACTTTTCTATTGACAGTGGATAGAAATTTTTTTTCTGAATTGCTTGACTATTAGGATTAGTATACTCAAATATATTTTAGATTTTGTTGACTCATTCTTTTATTCAATGTAGCTACCAATTATTGTCTTTACCATTCAAATCACGTGGCTAATTATTTCATATATTATATGAGGGTAGTGGAATTTTTCCTTTTACAGATGAGAAGACTAATAATAAGGATTCAAGTATGTTGTTCAAAATCACTCAGAATATGTCATAGCCAGGCATCAGTGCATGTTTGTATGACTCCAAACCACTCCCTCACCCACTGTGTACAATGACTGTCAACAAGCCTTAAAAACCATCCATGTAAACAATCCATGTAATTGGCGTAGGGGGATTCCCAGCTAGTGCAGTGGTAAAGAATATGCCTGCCAGTGCAGGAGATGGGAGAGACATGGTTCAATCTCTGGGTCAAGAAGATCTCCTGGAGAAGGAAATGGCAACCACTCTAGTATTCTTGCCTGGAAAATCCCATGGACAGAGGAACCTGGCAGGCTACAGTCTGGGATTGCAGAGAGTCGGACAGATTTTGCAACTGAACTCTCACACATAAAAGGGCTTCGGGATATTTGGGAATCATTGTTTTGAAAAACTATATCAACTCTGTATTATCCTATTTGCTGGGGTAATGGAAATCAGGAGAATACAGATAAAACATTGTTCAGTTCCAATTTAACACAACTGTGACACAAGATTGATATTTAATTCAAATGCATTTCATTAGGATGTTAAATTGTCTGCATGGGGTCAGTGGGTCTTTATCTCTTTCTTCTCCCACTCCTCTTTCTCCTCTTCTGATTTTCTTTTTATTTGCTTTACAATATTGTGCTAATTTCTGCTATATAGCAAAGTGACTAAATTGAAATATATATTAAATATATTATTTTCCATTTGGTTTATCATAGGATACTGAATATAGTTCTTGGAGCTACATAGGAGGACCTTGTTGTTCCTCTTCCCTTTTTTTGATGAGAATAATATTTTTCACTACATAAACACTGAATAAATATTTTCACTAAATAAGCACTAAATAAATATTTTCACTAAATAAACATTTTGTTTTCTAAACATTGCAGCAAGCAGTTATTTGGGGCCTCTGTTTTTGGCAGAAAATTCTTCTCTCTCATTATCATTCTCTCCTTCATCATCACACAAATACTAGTTCACAGTCAAGCCATCAACTTGGAAATGAAATTACCTGCCATTCTCAGCGTTTTCTCCCTGCAATCCCTGACTGCCCCTTGGCTCTCAGTGAGGCAAACCTCAGTGTAACGATGAACTGAAGGAATTTTAAGAGCATGTGTGTCGGTGCGAGGTCACAAAGGCTTCAGAACAAAATTCTGGGTTCTGCTCTGTGTTGCTCTTGCTCTCACCTCCGTTGCCATTCTCTAGGTTCTCTGTTTGAGAAAAATAAATAAAAACAAGTCTTGGGAGAAAGCACAGCAAAGAGGCTTCTAGTACCATCATTGTCCTAAGAAATAGACCCAGAGCATCAGACAAACTGCAGAAAGCTGCTCCTGTTCCAAAAAGCAGCTAACAGACTGCATATGCACATAGCTGGTTTTGACTGTCTAGGTGAAGGGGCGTTTCTTATTTGGGATGGGTACAATGTAAAACTGGAACGGTTCCTATATAATTATAAATAATAGACTCATTCTGATATGTAGATATTTCTCTAATCCACTACAATTTGAGTTCTTTTTCTTTACAAGTAAGCTGTCTCTGGCCCATTTTCACCCATTTTCTCCTCATAATGTGGTTAATCTATCCTTGGGAAATGGAAAGCTGACTGCAGTTCAATAGTCCTAGAACATGGTACACAGCGGACAGTAATAGATCTAGTGATGGAAAGATAAGTAGGCATCAGATCATGAATGGCCTTTGCGCCATGCTAAGTGGTTTGACAGGGGAAGGCAAGCCACTGTAGAACTGTAAGTGGTGGAGTGACATGCTTAGATTTGCATTTTGGAAAGATCAGTCTAGTGTTTTCTCAGCAAAGGTCATCAGGAGAATGAGAAATAATGGAGTCCTGAGCTAAGGAGTTTTAGTGGGAATGGAGAGGAAATAAAACATTGGGATAAGCACCTAAGAGACATGGCCCTGGGAGGGTAAAAAAGATGGCCCTGTAGTTTTCACCACAGATGACCAAGTGGGGACCATTCACTGTGAGAAGCTGCCTTAGTTCAGAATGCTGTAACAAAAATACCACAGGCTGGGATGCCTTAACTTGCAAACATTTACTTCTCAATATTCTGGAGGTTGAGAAGTCCAAGATCAAGGTGGTAGCAGATTTGGTGTCTAGTGAGAATGTGCTTCCTGCTTCACAGGCAGCCAGCTGGTCTTACTGTCTCACAGCAGAAGGGATAGAGAGCTCTCAGGGCTGTGTCTTTTATGAGGGTACTAATTCCACTTGTGAGGGCTCCACCCTTACAGCCTAATCACCTGCCAGGGCACCACAACTTGGGAGTAAGATTTTGATATATGAATTAAGCAGGGGACACAAACATTAATTCATACAGAATTCTATTGGGAAATAAGTATACATGGGAAAAATAAAATGGATTTTATTTTGGTCATGTAAAGTTTGCAGTGACTTCCTTATATTCAGGTAGAAATTCCTGCTATGTAGTAGCATATCTGGGCTGACGATTAAGAGGATAATTAGGCATATGAAAGAGATTTTGGAGCTCTGAGGGTGAAATTTAGTTACTGAAATCACAAATGAGAAATCTCTCTTACTCCTCTTCCAATTCCCAGGCAGTAGATGCAATTTCAATTCTTTGGGTTATTTATTTTGATGTTTGTTGCTATATTTGTGGATAGTTTTTTTAAGTTATAGATTTTGCTTATTGACAGGCATTTTATTGCATCCACTCACTTATGAATGATTGAAACAGTTATATGTGCCTAGCAAAGGCCTTGGGACTTAGTGCTTATTCGCTCAGTTGTGTCTCAGTAAAATTATTTCCTTTATTTCTCTCTCTTTTGAGTGCAGGGTTTGGTGATTGTATGGTAGAACCAATTTACTTTTATGATATTTATTTTAATTATTTCATAAGTGTCTTCTATATCCCTATTATTAAACATATTTGTTTGCTAGGACTGCCCTAACAAAGTCCCATAGACTGGATCTCTTGACAGAAATTCATTGTCTCACTCTTCTGGAATCTTGAAGTCTGAAATCCAGGAGTCAACATGGTTGATTTCTTCTGAGGCCTCTCTACATGGCTTGCAGATGGCTATCTTTTCCTCCTTGAGTTTTCCATCTGTGTGTTTCTGTGTCCTAATTTTCTTTTTATAAGAACATGTGTCATATTGGATTAGGACCCACCCTATTAGGTGAAAGTGTTCATTGCTCAATCCTGTCTGACTTTTTGTGACCCCCATGGACTATAGCACACCAGGCTCTTCTCTTCTGTCCATGGGATTCCCCAAGAATACTGGAGTGGGATCTTCCCAACCCAGGGATCACACCCAGGTCTCTGTCACTACAGGCAGGCTCTTTGCCATCTGAGCCACCAGGGGAGCCTAATCACTTCTTTAATGACTTTATGTTCAAATACAGCCCCAGTCTGAGGTACTGAGAGTTAGAATTTTAACATATGAATTTCGTGGTGCAGAGTTCAGCCTATAATAGTGAAATGGAGATATCCATAATTGCTTCCAACATAACCAAGTAGTTTTTGCATTCTTGTAATTTCAGATGATTCTAGCATATTTATATGAATAACAGTGTAAGGAAAAAGGTGATAGAAATATGATTCTAAATAATTACAGAGTCAAAACCAAAGTTCTTTATATTAGAGGAGTTGTCAAAAAAATTAAACTATTTAAAAAGAGAACATTTTAAGAGGAGGAAGTGGAGGAGGTGGCTTTATTTAAGTGTTTTCTAAGTAGTAAATTATTATGGGAGATATTTTTAGGGATATTATTTCCCCAGTCATTTCACAGATATTTAGGGAATTTCTGCATCACACTCAGTTCAAAAGAATACAAAGCATTGCAAAGAATACAAAGAAATACAAGACAGGGTCCTTATTCTCGGGATTTTCATCTCTGAATGAAGAGTCAAAATTAGTACAAGTGAAAAGAAAAGAAAAAGCAGCAATTTCATACAAAACTATATGATGCTGTCTGTAGCGGCTTTGGAATCAATGAGAAAGAAGTCAGTGTGGGATGTGCTATTCTGAAGGATTGCACGGAGCGTAGGGTTAGACTTGTGCAATGAAGGGTAAGTAGACTGGAGTGATGTGCAGACAAAAATAGGGAAACCAGAAAATGAAACTGTGCCTATTTTCTTTATAGGACTAATGACAGTCTTCAGTAATTTCTTATCTTTTTTTGTTATGGCAAGAACACTTACCATCAAATCTATCCTCTTAACAAATTTTTTAGTACACAATGAAGTATTGTTAGCTGTAGGCACAATATTGTATAGTAGATCTCTAGAATCTATTCATCTTCTATAAGTGAAACTTTTTACACTTGCTGGACAGCAACTCCCTCATCCCCCACGCCCACGCCCCACTCCTGGCAACCACTAGTCTACTCTGTTTCTATGAGTTTGACTGTTTTAGATACCTCATATGAGTGGAATCATTCAATATTTATCCTTCTGTGACTGGCTAATCTTATCAACCATAATGTCCTCAAGTTTCATCCATCCTTTTGCATATGGTGAAATTCTATTTTTAAAAAAGACTTTATTTTGTTAGAGAAGTTTTAGGTTCACAGCCAAATTGACAAGAAAATACAGAGATTGCCTATATTCTCCTTATCCCTACCCACATGGTGCCTTGCCTGTTGTCAACATCCCCCATGAGATTATTATCCTTCTTAAAGGCTGCATAATATTCCATTGTATATGCACACCAGATTTTATTGATCCATTCATCTCTCAGTGGACTTTTAGGCTGTTTCCATATGTTTACATTTGTTATTATGAATAATGCTGCAGTGGACATTGGAGCGTTAATATCTCTTCAAGATTTTGACTTCAGTTATTTTGTATATACACCCAGAAATGGTATTACTAGAACATTGCTGTAGTTCAATCCCTAAGTCATTTCCAACTCTTTGCAACCCATGGACTGCAGCACCGCAGGCTTCCCTGTCCTCCACTATCTCCCAGAGTTTGCTCAAACTCATGTCCATTGAGTCAGTGATGCTATCTTACCATCTCATCCTCTGCCACCCCCTTCTCCATTTGCCTTCAATCTTTTCCAGCATCAGGGTCTTTTCCAATGAGTCAGCTCTTCTCATCAGGTGGCCAAGGTCATATGGTAGTCTATTTTTCATTTTTTGACTAATCTCCATACCATTTTAAATAGTGTCTGTACCGTTTTACATTCCTAGCAACAGCGTACAAGAGTTTCAGTTTCTCTACATCCTTGTATCCTTGCCAGCATTGTTATGTATTTTGCTTGTGTGTTTTTTTGTTTTGTTTTGTTTATACTTTTTTGAGAGCCAGGTGTGAGGTGATATTTCATTGTGGTTTTGATTTGCATTTTCCCAATGATTAATGATGTTGAGCACTTTTTCATATACCTGTTGGCTGTTTGCAAGTCTTCTTTAGAGAAATGTTTCATTTATTTGCCCATTTTCAATCAGGTTATTTATTTGCTGTTGATTTATAGGAATTTTAGGTATACCTTTTCTATGTGTTTATTTTTTGTCTATATCCCTCACTAGAACATAGGATCTAAATGACAGAGATCTTATTCTTTCAACAATAGGATAGGACACTGTCTCAATTTATAGCTTTATAATAAGTCTCAAAGTTGGTTATTGTCAAACTCTATTCACTCCCTTTTATTTATTTATTTATTTATTTTTGAGAAAAATTTCTGCGTGCCAAATATCTAAGTCTGAATAGCTGTGGATTGTCAGACATTCTTTCAATGATAAAATGATATCCTTTGAAAAAATAGCTCTTTCTTCTTGCAGTTTAAGCTATCTCATAAATACATTTATTCTACATAATTGTAGTTCACTATGCACCCATGATCCAGATAATCATGATGTGTGATCACTCACACTCACCTAGAGCCAGACATCCTGGAATGTGAAGTCAAGTGGGCCTTAGGAAGCATCACTATGAACAAAGCTAGTGGAGGTGAGGGAATTCCAGTTGAGCTATTTCAAACCTTGAAAGACAATGCTGTCAAAGTGCTGCACTCAATATGTCAACAAATTTGGAAAACTCAGCAGTAGCCACTGGACTAGAGAAGGTCAGTTTTCACTCCAATCCCAAAGAAAGGAAATGCCAAAGAATGCTCAAATTACCACACAATTGCACTCATCTCACACACTAGTAAAGTAATGCTCAAAATTCTCCAAGCCAGGCTTCAGCAATACATGAACCATGAACTTCCAGATGTTCAAGCTGGTTTTAGAAAAGGCAGAGGAACCAGAGATCAAATNGAAGAATTGATGCTTTTGAACTGTGGTGTTGGAGAAGACTCTTGAGAGTCCCTTGGACTGCAAAGAGATCCAACCAGTCCATCCTAAAGGAGATCAGTCCTGGGTGTTCATTGGAAGGACTGATGTTGAAGCTGAAACTCCAATATTTTGGCCACCTGATGCAAAGAGATGACTCATTTGAAAACAGCCTGATTCTGGGAAAGATTGAGGGCAGGAGGCAAAGGGGATGACAGAGGGTGAGATGGTTGGATGGCATCACTGACTCAGTTGAATTGGGTTTGGGTGGACTCCGGTAGCTGGTGATGGACAGGGAGACCTGACCTGGTGAGCTGCGGTTCATGGGGTTGCAAACAGTCAGATACGATTGAGAGACTGAACTGAACTGCTGCACCGAAAATGCTTTCTGCATGCACAGGCTCCCAATTTTGTTACTCAGAATAATTAAAAGGCCTGGACTGAACAAAATTGATTCCTGTTACTTTTCAATTAAGGACATTTTTAAGTAAAATTAGCCTTTTTTATTTTTTTCCCCTGTAACTTCATGGAAATAGTGAATCTAATTCTTGCAAGTACAGTCTGATGATACTGGCTATTGGACTTTTTATTTATTTGGGGGGAGACTGGGCTGCATGTCATATGGAATCTTAGTTCCCCCACTGGGGATTAAACCAATGCCCCCTGCACTGGAATCAGTGTCCTACCACTGGACCTCCAGGAAATTCTCTATTGGACTTTTCAGATTGATATTTTACTTTTCCCCTTTTCTATTATATTTTCTGTTTGTCTTTTTTCATTTGTTTGTTCATTCATTAAACAATATCCTTGCCCTATGGAGCATGCTTCCTCATCCATGACTCTGTAAAAGAGAAGAACTAATGATTCTTTGCCAAGGATTTCTTTTGTGAAGCTAGGATGATTGGTGGCTGCTTAGGATATAACCTCAGCTGTAAACTCTTCCCAGAGACAGGCAGAGGTTTGCCTCCCAGAGTCCTTCAGAAAGTTGGAGGACCTCCAGAAGGGTGTCAGTATTTGCTGTGAAGGAGATATGTTAGGAGTAAGGGCAGTGATTCATGACTTTTTACAACTTGTCTGTAGGTGTTTTAAAGGGCACAGTTGAATACTTATGAAAACATTCTGCTCTGTGTCATCCTCTTCCGCCCTCCAGGAGCCAGGACTTTAGAGTAGCTGCTTTCTGAAACATTGCTGATTACCTTGGCAGTGGGTTAATATAACCTAAGTGAATGGTCTACTCAACTTCACCATCATAATCTAAAATCCATATTATATGTCAAGAGAAAGAAGACTGAACTCTGCCCTTCTATGGAAGGAGACACTGTAGAAATGAGATTAACAGCCATGGACTCTAAAATCAGTGCTTGGTTCATAACCTGGGGCTGTTATTCATTCTGTGATACCTGGAAAAACCTCTTAAACTCTGTTTGCCTCAATGTTCTTAAATGTAATATGATTTAAAAAGGTCTGTCTAGTCAAAGCTATGGTTGTTCCAGTAGTCATATATGTAAGTGAGAATTGAACTATAAAGAAAGCTGAGCACTGAAGAACTGATGCTTTTGAAATGTGGTGTTAGAGAAGACTCTGAGAGTCCCTTGAACGGTAAGGAGATCCAACCAGTCCATCCTTAAGGAAATAAGTCCTGAATATTCATTGGGAGGACTGATGTTGAAGCTGAGACTCCAATACTTTGGCTACCTGATGTGAAGAACTGCCTCATTGGAAAAGATCCTGATGCTGGGGAAGATTGAAGGCAGGAGGAGAATGGGGCAACAGAGGATGAGATGGCTGGATGGCATCACCGACTTGATGGACTTGAGTTTGAACAAGCTCCAGGAGTTGGTGAAGGACAGGGAAGCCCGGAATGTTGCAGTGGGAGTCTCAAAGAGTCAGACATGACTAAGCAACTGAACTGACCTTAATAATAGTAGTACTTACCTTATGGAATTGTGAAGATTAAATGAATTTATCTATAGCATTTAGAATTGTGCATTGCATAAAATCAGATTTAGAAAAGGATAGTTATCATTAATGTCTGTGTTATTACTCTTATGGTAATACCTGAAATGAAGCTTTGGTTCAGTCTAAAATATCCTGACATTTGATTAAGAGTAATTATACCTTGATGATAAAGACTGAATTGTTATTGTTTTCTTCCCTGAGTTCAATAACCTTATTTAGACTTCTTGGTTGGAATTGATAGTAGTCTCAATTGTCTTGTTGAAGATTCTTGTTGAAATAAATAGATTGTTCAATATCTTTAAAATTATGAATTTGATTTAAAATTATTACATTACCTTAAATGTTTTAATGCACTAAGAGTAGACTCTTAGAAAGAATACAAGTTTTGGAGACAGAACAACCATATGTATGAATTTGACTAAAGTAGTTAATCTCTTTGATTCTCAGAAAATAATAATAGCATCCTTATGGTTTTGATATGACAGTTGACATAATATACTGTAATAGTAAGCATAAAAATTGACTACAGTTCTCGCTACCTGGCTAATGTTAATCTGAGGCACATTGCATGTTCTCTACTACCAAATAAACATTCAGTACCAGTTAATAGGATTCATTTATAAAATTTTGGAGAAATGAGCATGAACAGTACAAAAAATAAGTCACTATAACTGTGAAGAATTCAGTAATGAGGAGTACCAGTGATTAAAAACTTACATGCTTTATATAGAACTTAGATAACAATCTTTTTCACAGTTGTTTATTTTGTTGGATTTTACTGTTCATTTACAGATATAGTACAATAGAACTATAATCATGGTTTAGATTGTAAATAATAAAATCTGTATTCCATATAAATTTGAATTATACCTTTATTTATATCATGTATTTTTTAAGAAAAAGAAAAGTTAAAGTCAAGAATCTCTAATTGGAGTAAAAGAAGGGAAATTTAAACAATAGAATGTACTGTGATAAGTATTTTTAAAAGTAAAAGTGATTGTGCTGTTTCTCTTAGAAACAGCGTTTGGGAATTTAACCAAAGAAATCAGAAAGCATTAGAGTTTAATAGTTCTTTATTATTATTTAATAAGATGATTATCTTTTTCATTAAAAAATCTTTTCATTTTTATAGATAAGAAACTGTGGTGGGCAGACCAAAACTTAGCTCAGCTGGGAACCTGCAGCAAAAGAGACGGAAGAAACCCCACCGTTCTAAGAAATAAGACTTCTGGGGTTGTTCATATGAAAGTGTATGATAAAGAAGCTCAGCAAGGTAAGTCACATGGCAAAGAATTTGTGTTGCCTTTTGAATACATAATTATTCATATAATTTTCTCAAGTCAACAATTGATGTTTCCTATTTTCCTACTAATAAAAAAAAAAAGGGGAGGGAGGGAGGTAAGTACTGCTTAATAATGCAGAAGAAATACCTTTAACATAAAGTATATAATGAGCTTTCAAAATGTTAGCAAAGCTGCCCAAGGAATCTGAATTTGTCGGGTCTTCAAAGAGGTCTATTCAGTTCTTGATTTAAGAATATTAAAATAGTTTTAAAATCCCAGCAAAATATATTCAAAGTATAATTATGCCCAGAAAATGGATGAACTAAGGGACTTCAAATGGACTATGTTGATACAAGAATTTCATAACCAAAAGCATTACATTGGCTCTAAGCATTTTGATTTTTTGTTTCTCCTTGTCCAAATGGTATGCAGTGAAATGGAGTGAGGGAACTAACAGATGGTTTACATAGGTGGACTTGTCACCTTGCCCAAATGGCAATTAGATTAGAGATGCCAGGCAGTATGGCCCCACACCTGCTTGTTTTTTCTTAGTTTTTGCTTCAAAATCCATGACATTAGCAGAACTCCCTTCCCAGAAAAAAATATTCTTCTATATTCTACTGTCTTATTTATATCACAACCATGAAAATACTTTTGTTCATATATTTTTCTGCTTAGGGAAAAAATATCCAGAAAACTTAAAAAGATTTTTATCTAAAAGATTTGGGCATGTAGACCAAAGCAGATAAGGGTAGAGATAAGAAAATTGAACCAAAAATGTTTTTAAAAAGACAATAAAAAAGAATAGTGAACCAAAGCATTCACTAATTCTGAAGATAGGTGACAATAATCAAGCAGGCAGAATTAATTTATTGGAAAATACCAAATGAAAATCATACTGTACCTCCAGAGACAAAATGAAAACCAGATTCAGGATTGCCTTTTCTGAATAGGGTATGGGCCAAATTTTAGTCTGGAATCCTTTCTTGCCAGTAGTAGCGGCAAATGTTTTTCTTTATCAAGGAAAAAAATATTTTTAAGATAAAAAAATTACTTTGTAAAACAATCTGAAAACTGAGATCCATTCATGGTTGAGATGACACTGACATCCAGACTCACATGCACAAATCTGTATTTATTCTCTGATTCTTTTTTGTTATTGTCTGTAATAATGAATGAGTGTTTTCACTAGGAATTATTTAATAGAAAAAATTCTATATCAAATTCTATATCAAAATAAATGATTTTAGAGGCATTCAAGTCTTGGATGCCTCTCTATCTATTGGAGAATAGATTATATAACTGGAAATAAAATACTGGTACTCAGTAAATAAAATATGATTGCATTTTTGTGGATTTCAATACAATGTATTTGTTAAGTGTAAAAACTTACAGTATTGTGATAAACTTAAGTTTGTAGTCTACACTGAATGAAATCATATCTGAAAACATTCAACAATATAAAATACAAATTAGAAAAGGGGAGATTATATTTCAAAACATTAAAAAAACATGTATTCACTTCTTCAAAAGAACACACACATACTTTGTTGAAAATTATAAATTAATAAAATAGTCAATTTTTTGTAGATACAGTTTCAATGAAGTTTCTTGGAAGAAAAATCAGTATATTATGCTTGTCTCACATTGTTCATTTTAACAAGGCCCATTAATCTTTTAAGGATTTGATTCTATAGGTAGAGTTGGGGCTTCCATGCACTGTGAAAGTATTTTCAAACTGACCAGGACCTCTAACACTTAGAAATTAATGGTATGATAATACTAAACTTAAAATACTGTTTCTACCAGAAGAATATGCTGATAAAAGCATCTGTATTAAAGACAACCCCATTAACAAAATCATAGCAGGTAGTTTAAAAGCTTCATTAGTATGAAATATGAGCAATTTAGGACTACTTAAGGTGTTAACAGTACTACCGCTTCAGATTTCAAAGTACAATTAGTTACTTCATTTATCATTTTTGATACAGATCACTGGAGAGCTGAGACTTCTCCTTAGCCAAGTGGACTTTTCTAGTTCCACTAGTGAATTGAGGAATGAAGTTTGAACATCTATATCATTGCAAAATATTAAGTCAAACCACCTTTTCTAATGTGTTAGTCACCACCTAAATTATTACTTAAAATAATCTCTATTATTTTCTGCATTCAATTTATATTTAATAGGCAAAGATACTTATTAAAAATGATTTTTATTTTACTTTTTCTCTTAGAGACTAAGCAAATAATATATAATATGTGTTATTGTTGTGCAATATTATTAGCATAGTGAGTTTTATTATTTATAAAAAATTATATCTCATTGCATATTTCTATCATTATTAAGGTTTAAAATATACAATCCCAGAAGCTCCTTTTTCTTCATTCTTCATGCATTTTGGATATCAAGGTTATATAACTCTGTATTTTCTCTTGTTTTTATAAATCATTCTCGAATCCATTATTCTTTATTTCTTTAATTACTTTGTTTCCTCTGCGGTCCATTTGTTGTTTTTTCAAAATTTTTAGATAAGTATCACTTGTTAGATTTTTGCTGTTCAATGGTAGTTGGAAAAAAATTGATATCTAAACGCATATTGCTGTAGATTGTCGTTGTATTTTAGTATACATTCACATGTTGTTGTTCAGTTGCTCAGTCATGTCTGACTCTTTGACTGCAGAATGCCAGGCTTCCTGTCCTTCACTATTTCCAGCAGTTTGCTCTAATTCATGTCCATTGAGTCAGTGATGCCATCCAGCCATTTGATTCTCTGCCGACCCCTTCTCAATCTTAACCAGCATCAGGGTCTTTTCCAGTGAGTCAGCTCTTAGCATCTGGTGGCCAAAGTATTGGAGTTTCACCTTCAGTATCAGTCCTTCTAATGAATATTCAGGGTTTATTTCCTTTAGGATTGACTGACTGGTTTGATCTCCTTGCAGTCCAAGGGACTCTCAAGAGTCTTCTCCAGCACCAGTTTGAAAACATCAGTTCTTTTGTGCTCAGCCTCCTTTACGGTCTGACTCTCATATCTGTACATGACTATTGGAAAAACCATGGCTTTGACTATATGGACCTTTGTCAGCCATGGTGTCTCTGCCTTTTAATGTTGCCTATGTTTGTTATAGCTTTTCTTCCAAGAAAGCAAATGTGTTATAATTTCATAGCTGCTGTCACCATCCACATTGGTTTTGGACCCAATATATTAAGTCTGTCAGTGTTTCCACTGTTTCCCAATCTACTTGCCATAAAGTGATAGGACTGTATGCCATGATCTTCATTTTTTGAATGTTGAGTTTTAAGCCAGCTTTTTCCACTTCACCCTCATCAAGAGACTCTTTAGTTCCTCTTCACCATCTGCCATTAGGATGGTGTAATCTGCACATCTGAGGTTATTAATATTTCTCCTGGCAATCTTGATTCCAGCTTGTAATTCCTCCAGCCAAGCATTTTGCACTATTACTCTGCATATGTTAAATAAGCAGGGTGACAGTATATAGCCTTGAAGTATCCCTTTCCCAATTTTTAACCAGTCCATTGTCCCATGTCTGTTCTAACTGTTGCTTCTTGGCCTGTGTGCAGGTTTCTCAGGAGGCAGGTAAAGTGGTCTGGTATTCCCTTCACTTTAAATTTTTTTTTACAGTTACTCTGTTCCACACAGTCAGAGGTTTTAGTGTAGTCAATGAAACAGAAGTAAATGTTTTTCTGAAATTCTCTTGCTTTCTATGATCCAACAGATGTTGGCAATTTGATCTCTGGTTCCTCTGCCTTTTCTAAATCCAGCTTGTACATCTGAAAGTTCTCGGTTCATGTACTGTTGAAGCCTAGCTTAAAGGATTTTGAGCATAACCTTGCTAACACGTGAAATGAGCACACTTGTGTTGTAGTTCACTTAAGAACGCTTTCTTATCTCTCCTTACTATTCCTTGGAACTCTGCATTCAGTTGGGTATATATTTCCCTTTCTCTTTTGCCTTTCACTTGTCCATTCACATGCTTCCTATAAAATGAAATAAGTATTGGGTCAGTGTACAATCATTATAGATCTATAAAAATAATTGGCTCATCACTAAAATATAAATAGAGCTGAAAATTCATCTTATTATTATATCAGCTTGGTAAAAAGGAATAAATCAATTAATCTTTATTAGTTTATATAGGAAACAAAGGTAATCATTTCAAAAGTTCAAGGCAAATCATAGTATGTGAATCTATGTAAGAACAACCACCAGTTATGGGAAATCAGCAAAGAATGTGGTAGATCTCCCTGATGAGAAATTGTCCCAGTTGAGCCTATTTCACACTTCAAAAATGACAGAGCATGTGACAGGTTTGATTGAACATTTAAATCCCATTAGACTATCTTGAATTCAGGAGATTAGAAATAATGAGCTGCACTGGTATTTTGAATTTTCCATAGAGCACTATTGATATATAGCTTTCATCATGTTTTGTAATTCTCATTGGATTTATTGCACTTCATACCAGTGTTTGAAGATCCAGCAAATGTCATTGCATGTCCTAGAATAATAAAAATGTTATAAAACTGGGATATTTAATGAACTTGCTGGATAAGATTGTAAATTACTTAACATCATGCTACCAGCCTTAATTAGAACATTGGGCCTAGTAAATTCAATGGAACATCTTTATAGAATGCGTAACTCTGATTAACTGACTAATATTTGTTATTGCTACTACACAGGAATAAGGAAAATTAATATGCCAATTAGTTAGATAACTCTTATGGGTGTGTTTTACATTTCTTTTGGAAGAATTATGTTCCTTGAAATGGCAACAGTTAGTTCCTTGCTTTTAAGAATTTATATATATATTTTTTTATATATCTCCTTACTTTTAATGGTATAATCTTTGAGTCAATAATATAAATTAATAACTGTTTATTTGATTCAGTTGGATAAAGTATTCTTGAAAATGAGGTAACTATAGAGTTGAAGTGAAATTTAGAAATTAGAGAAGAGATTTCCTGGTTTATGTGACCTTAAAGTATTAGAGTCTATGACCACACTCATGACACACCCATTTCTTTTCTGTCACTATGAATTCTCTCATGTGTCTCACTTTGCAAAATATTAATTATTATTTATTGTAAATATATATTTACTGATATATAATTGACAGATAACTGGTTAAAATGTATAGCGTGTTGATTTAATATTTTTTATATTGCAATATGGTTACTACTGTAGTGCTAGTTGTTACATCACATAGTTATCATTTCTTTTCTTAGTGGGAACATTTAATATCTAATCTATTGTCATTCAGTTGCTAAGTCATACCTGACTCTTTGCAGCCCCAGGGACTGCAGTATACCAGGCTTCCCTGTCCTCCACTGTCTCCCAGAGTTTGCACAAGCTCATGTCGATTGAGTCGGTGATGACATCCAACCATCTCATCCTCTGTCATCCCCTTCAATCTTTTTCCCAGAATCAGGGTCTTTTCCAATGAGTAGGCTCTTTGCATCAAGTGGCCAAAGTATTAAATCTTCAGCATCAGCATTAGTCCTTTCAATTAATATTCAGGTTGATTTCCTTTAGAATCAACTCTCTTTGATTATAGTATTATTGTCTGTAATCACTATACTGTGCTTTTTTTGGAAAGACAGACTTCAACCATAATCTGCTACTTCAAATTACTTGAGGGGATAAAACATGATACTAACCAATATGAAACAGCAGCATTTATAAATCAATAATAACATGTTGTTATAATATTTGTTTAAACCATTGATATTGAATTATATGTGACTTACTTTTCCTGATTTTTATGTTTCTTTTGTTTGTTTTTCTGCTTTGCAGGCAGCAATTCCTGCCAACTAAATAATGGTGGATGTTCTCAGCTGTGTTTACCAACATCTGAAACTACAAGAACTTGTATGTGTACAGTGGGATATTATCTCCAAAAGAACCGCATGTCATGTCGAGGTATAAGGTTTTGAAAATCTTATTTCTGATGCATTTATTTCATCAATACAGATTTTAGGCAACCAGAGCCAGCTTTATCTTTGTTTATTGAGATTACCATATAATTTTTTATTCTTTATTTTGTTAACATGATGTGTCACAGTGATTTATTTATAGACATTGAACTATCCTTGAATCCCTTGCATAATATACCTGATCATGATGTATGATCCTTTCAACATATTGTTAAATTCAATTTGCTAACATTTAGTGAGGCTTTTCACATCTATGTTCATCAGCGATATTGGCCTATCATGTTTATCTTCTTGTGGTATCTTTGTCTGGTTTTGGAATTAGCGTGATGCTGTCCTCATAGAAATAATTTGGAGGTGTTCCTTCCTATGAAATATTATTTTGGATAGCTTGAGAAGGATAACGAGATCCCTAAAGTGGCTGCTGCCAGCCTGTCAGTCCCCAGGGGCTTCCCAGTTTCCTCCTGCCTCTCAAGGAGGCTCTCCAGGATCCCCAAGTGGATCTGACCCAGGCACCTTTCAAACTACTGTCTCTTGCTGGTACTGGCAATTTTTGAGATTTTATGTGCACTCTGTAAAAGAGAAGCCTCTGTGTCCTGTATATCTTTGGCTCTCCAAAACAAGTTCAGCTGGTTTTCAAAGCTCCGATTTCTGGGGGCTTGTCTGTAAGGGCAGGATCCTTGGACTGGGGCACCCTATGTGGGACTCAGACCCTTCACCCCTGAGGAAGGACCCCTGTGGTTGTGATCCTCCTCCTCCCAGGGAGTAGGTATGTTTTCTGACTGACAAGACCGTGTCTCTGCCCCTCCTACCCATGTTATTGTGATTCTTTCTTTAAATATTTATAAAGGAAAAAGTGGAAAATCTTTTCTGCTAATTTTCAGAATGTTATCATAAGTAGTTGTAATTTTGGCATTCCTTTGGGAGGAGGTAAGTTCAGGGTCTTTCTACTATGCCATCTCAATCCCCTCTCCTGCCAATGGAATGATTTCAATATTAAATATTCATTTTGCTTTTGTTTTCTTTTAAATTTAGGTATAGAGTCATTTCTTATGTATTCTGTTCATGAAGGAATCAGGGGAATACCTCTGGAACCAAGTGACAAAATGGATGCTTTGATGCCTATCTCAGGAACTTCATTTGCTGTGGGAATAGATTTCCATGCAGGTAAATAGCTTTTTATTTATAATTTATGTTTGATGTTTTGATTTATTAAACCTGATGGAAATAGGACCTTTCCATCTGTACTCTGATAGTCAAAATGAGGAATAAGGAAACAAATCAGAAGTGAATTTCTAAGCCTTACACAAATTGCTATAAATAAGTTTGTCCTAAAAAGTAAAATTTTTCTAACATATGGCAATATAAAAATGACATATTTGTCACTTGGTTGCTTTGTTTTTACTTTTTTATTTTTCAAATGGCATATTTACTTTTCTCCAATGATACATATTAAAAAAAAAAACACTTTAGCTTACATACTTAAACATTTATATTTAAAATATTTTTCAGAACGTGATTATCTATTCTAATACAGGTAGCAGCAAATGAAAGTGAAAATGTTAGTCCCTCAGTCATGTCTGACTCTTTGCAACCCCATGGATCTTAGCCCACCAGGCTCCTTTGTCCATGGATTTCTCCCCGCAAGAATGCTGAAGTGTGAAGCCATTCCCTTCTCCAGGGGATCTTTCCAACCCAGGGATTGAGGCTAGGTATTGCAGGCAGATTCTTTACTGCCTGAGCCACCAGGGAAACCCCAAGAATACTGGAGTCCAGATAATTGAAACACTTATAAATGCTAAGCCATTCTGTATTACTTTTCAATACAGTAGCTATCATTTTAAAGTCAGAGTTTAACTTCCCTTTTTGTTTTAGCAGTGAAAGAAAGATTGAACACTACCATTTTTCTGTGGCTAATAACAAGTATATGATGGAGGGGGCAGTTCCCTGCTGGTCTAGTGGTTAGGATTCAGCACTTTCACTGCCAAGGCCCAGGTTCAATCCTTGGTTGGCAAACTGAGATACCACAAGCTGAGTGTCAAAGCCAAACAAATGAACAAAACAAATAAACAACAACAACAAAAAAGTGTGATTGGGAATTGATGGTAGAAACTGTTAAATCTATTGTAGGATATAAGTTGTTTTTTCTAATTGCTAAATTCAGATAAAGCATAAGCATTGGATATACTTCTTTTGTTAATATTAATATTTATTATTATATGCTTGAAGGATTAAATTTATAAAAACAGATTTTTCCATCTCTCATCCAACCAAGTCTTGTGCTTCTTGAGTTAATGTCTCAGTGTTGAAGATATAATTCATGTTCCCAGTATATTTTTTATATGTGTAAAGGCAGTTTTATCTAGTATTAAAATAATCCTTCTTTGACCTGTAATCTTTACAAAAATAAGCATCAGTACATGAGCTTCTGATATTAAGCCTAATTTTCCTTTAGCTTTTACATGTTTTTCAATCATGTGTTAATGCAATGCATGGCTATAAATTTAAAAATTGCTGGGAAATTTCACAGATGAATGAAAGATGGCTTTTCTTAAGAAGATCAGTTGTACCAAACACTTTGAATCACAGAGAGGCAAATTTCCTATGTTTTTTAAATGGTTAAATGGTTTTTCCAAATATACATAGAAAGATATAGCGTATTTTATTGATTGATATGCTAATTTTGCCAAAATTAGTGTGATTTTTTTTTTATCAAACAAGGCTCTTTGATCCATTCTCATTATTTGTGGAATGCTCACTACCCTGCCATATACAATCTACCCTGCCTTTATTTATAAGCATATCTTTCTTTAGAATCTTATTAATAGGATTTAATAGGTAAAACTAAGAAAAACCTGAACTTCTTGAAAAGTGTATTCATATAAGTATATGTATTTTTACTAAATATACATAATCCCATGTTTTAGCTGGTATCACATATTTGATTCTTTTAAAAACTCAATGATTTTTTAAAGTATTTGATAAATTTCCAAATCATATGTCAAATAAGCCATTTGGTCAAATGCTCTGATTAGATCATTAGTAACCTCTTGTTCCTTAAGGGCAAACTGATTATTTGTATGAGTTGAGTTTACTCTCCAGGGTTTTATAATGACCCTGAGATGTTGAAGTTTCAAATAATGTGCCATGAAAGAGGTAATTTTATTCACAAAGAATAGTATTCTCCCTATTTCTACATGTGCGCTAAGTCACTTCATGTCCAACTCTTTATGACCCCATGGACCATAGCCCACGAGACTCCTCTGTCCACAGGATTCTCAAGCCAAGATTACTGGAGTGGGTTGCCATGCCCTCCTCCAGAGGATTTTCTGAACCCATGGATCTAACCCCTTTCTCTTATGTCTCCTCCATTGGTGTGCAGATTCTTTACCACTCCTGCCACCTGGGAAGCCCCAAATCCTTAGTAACTACTGATATTTTGTAATAAACATGCTTCATATCAAAAGTTTTTCAATAGAAAAATTGCTAGTTATTTGTTAAAACTTTGTGTTCTTCATATTGTACCTGTCTATATTTTAAAACTGCATTCTTAGAAAGGAAGTCTCTTTAGAAAATCATTTTATTCTAAATGTAAAAGGATGTTAGCATTTGGAATAGTCATGTGAAATTAAAATGCTTAATAATCTATAAAATTTCTGTTAATCAGAAAACAGAGTTAGAACTTGCTTGGAAATCAAAGAGGATCAGACATAGGGCCCAATAGAACCTATGGTGGGAAGAGGCCAGATTTTAGCAACAGACAACTTGGATTCTACAACCAGTTTAAACAGTTAACAAGTGTTGACCTTGGGTACATTGCTTAATTTTCCTGAGGCTGTTTCCTCACCTTTGGTGGTATGAGAATATTTAGATCACTTTGTGCAAATGTTTCAAACAGTGTTTGATACACATAGGTACTTAGAAAATAGTGATAATATCATAGAAATCAATAAATTTCCATGAAAAACAGCAAATTGTAGAAGTTAGCATATGTGATAAATATCTACAAACCTGTTCTGCAAACTATATTTAATCTTCCAGTTAGCAAAGATTTTGTTTTCTGGGTTTTTTTTTTTTTTTTTTTCTGTTCAGTTATCTGCATCAATTAGTAGTTGTTTCTTAATTTTTTTGGGACAGAAAGAGCAAGTTAGTAACTTTCTCTAGTGAAAATGAGCTTAATGATAATGAATAATATGTAGAGCAGATATTTAAAGATTAAATAGCATCACCATCTCTTTGAAGTCATTAAATATAAACCTAGGAGGCTAGACAGTGCCTGATGGACCATACTTAGACAGTAAACCAACAGAAAACACTAATGATGATGGTGGTGGTGGCAATCTGACCAGGAGTTTTTGACCATGTTTCCACATACCTTTGGTGCTTCCTTCTACTATAAAATCTGATCCTTTCATGATTGCATTTTGTGAAAATGTATTAGCATCAGAATAAGTGTCAGAAACTTGATTCATATCAATATCACTGTAGACAGCATAGAAGCTCTGTGGCTAGGCTGAGTGAAGATGCTTTTGAGAGGAAGGAAGGAAAATAACTGAATTGCCCCAGAGAGATTAATAGAAAAAATAATTTTTGATACATCAATCCCTATTTTTTTTAATCAAGACTTTTATACCTAATCATAGGTTCTTCCTCCAGTAGTTCCCTATGCAGACATTCTATCTCCTCTTCTTTCATTGATTGTATTCACTTCAGAGACATAATTTCTACTTTTAGGATCAAAATAAAGATGACAAAATACAAGGGCACAACACACTCTTATTCTAAACATAATAAGGAAATGGTGTGAAAGAGGATTGCTTGTCAAGTATGACCATGATAACTTATATAATATTATTTCACTACCACAATTCTCAGGACTAAATATATGCTCAAATCCATACCTTTCACAAGGATTAACATATCTGAATCTTGCTGGGTTTTGTTTGTAATGAATTAAAGTTTTCTGCAGTGAGTGAAAAAATTTCTTTCACCAGATGAAGCAATTCTGGATACTACCCACAGAAGAAAGTAGACCCTGTGGCTATTTCAAAATGTTCAAAGCATTCTTTATCACTTCACTGGAAAAGTCCCATTCCACTGGGAAAAAAAAAAGTATTCAGCTTTGAAAATCCTGGCCTGCTGGGTGATATCCCTCCTGATGAATGAATACTGCATTTGATGTTTTAAAGATATATGTTAATTAGGGGAAAAGCCTTCATAACAAAGCTCACTGCTCCAGTTCAAAATGTGATCTTTAGTAAGCAATGATCTATTCAATTTCCCCACCCCCACTTTGGGGATATTCATGACTTTTTCATAATAATCACATAATAGGATATTACTTAACTGGATGAAATTCTACTCAGAGCATAATCATTTACTGAACTTTTCCAGCATACATTCTTTTTCCATCTTTTATCTCTCTTGTTCACATTGGAGTTATCCAACTCAGTGTTAACAAATGTTGATTACTATCTGCTAGGAGTAGTACATCACAGCTAAGTTGCTGTGGGGGATAAAGATAAACAAGAAATAGTTTCAGAAGTAATGCATGAATGGATGATCAGTAGGATATTTTTTTCTTTTTTAAAGAGAGCATCAAAGAGCCATTATTGGGATGTCATTGCTTTACAGTTACTATGGGGAATATTCTAATGCCTTTTCCCACCATCACATAGTGATCTGGCTATTAAGACAATACACAAACTGACAGAGTATACCATTATACATCTATTAAAATCCAAAGAATATAAAACACAAAGGCTACATCCTGATGTAACCTATAGATACTAATATAAACTGTGGACCTATCAGGGTAGGTTCAATACTTGTAACAGATGTACCACTCTTATTTGAGATGCTGCTAGTGGAAGAGGCTGTGAGTGTAGGAAAGGAAAGGGTATATGGGGACTCCTGCTCAAATTTGCTGTGAATTTAAAACTGCTGTAAAAATAAAGTCTATTATAAAAATACACAACATTGAAAGAGAATATGTGACACGATACTGTTGCTGTATTTACACAGTTGAATGTCATTTATTTCCATGAAAGACTTTCTTCTTAATAGTCTCATATCATTTATATCTATCTTTGAATGTTAAAATGAACTTTTGACTCAATCTAGTGGCATTTCTCATGTTACAGAGAAGGAAACAAACCCAGAGAAATCAGGGGAGGGAATAGTAATGGAGTGTCCTACTTTTAATTCTTCACGCTATGCCATCTTGCATTTCTAACGTCTTAAACACAGTCTTACTTAGACCATTATTGGCACTACTTGATGAAACTAAATTGCAGTTCTGCAAATTTATACTGATAGAAGATCATGTTTTATTTTGATTTATGTAAAGAACCACATAGCTTTAAATCCATTTCATAATTGAAGCAGGTGACGCTCAAGTGAGAGGCTCATTTCCCTTTGCCGGGAGGCTTAGCAAACAGCTGTTTACAATTTTTTTCTAATAACCATTCTGTCACCAACCAAGGCCAAAGAAGAATTATAGAAAGAATTCATTTTATGTCAGTAACAGCAATAACTTAAGAAATACAATACTGTTGCTTTCAGACATTTTTTTCAATTTTATGAAAACCATTTCCTTGGCAACAAAGTGAATTTTTAGGGCTGGTTCAATTTCTTCTTGCTCTTCTGACAGTGAACCAATACTATTTGTGTTGTCATTTCAAATTTGCTTCAAGACTGTATTTTCAAATCATGTGAACAGTTTGTATGTATTTGTAGATAGTCAAGTCCAGTAAATCTTTCAAGACATATAATACCAACTGCCACAGAAAACAAACTTCCCAATACTACCAGGAAACAAATATAACCATACATCGAATAAGTCATTGTAGGTTAAACAAATTATTGGAAGTAATTCACAAAAACTTTTTGGATAATTTCTGAACTCAGGCATAAAATACAAAGCAAAAGAAAGTAACCTTCTTTTAGGCATCTGGAGTTCTCAATAGGTTCCCTGAAATCAAAAGCTCCAGAAGATTCACAGTGATGACCTACTATGATGAAAGCTTTTGTCAGTCAGCTTATTTAGGGTATATTATTCTGTTATCAAAAGAGTAACAAAGTTTCATGAAACTTCTTTCTCAGGCAGTTAGCATTCCTCATGGAAGTGAAAGGTCCCAATACCAGCTTTGTACTTACTCACAGGAGTACATCCAATCTATTTGAACACCTTCCCCCCACCCTCCTGAGTCTCTCTGTGCTTCTGTATTTATTTTTAGCTTCTCAAGACCCTTTTCAGCTTAGGATTCTCTTCAGGTATCTCATATATTTATATCTGATACGTTGATGTCTTTCCTACTCTTTTCCCTGTCAAAACTGAGTTTTGAACCCTATTCTCAAAAGATCTGGTTACACTAATTCATAACAAATTATTAAGAGTGGCTAAGAAATTGACAAGTTACCTTACTGGTATGTTTGAACACAGCACTGTATGTTAACCAAATATTATAAATCCAACAAAAGCAAAATTAAAGACATGTAAAGAAAATATGTTTAGTAATAGGTCGATATTTTGAATATTTTTCAAATTATTTCCTACTCTGTCTCTAAGATAATAGATTGGCATCTATTTAATTGTGGAAACTGCTGATAGATCAAATGATAATGTGGAGGTCTCTTTTAGCTTAGGTGCATTGATATCATTAATATTATTAAGTGTAACTTTAACCTAGAAGTGTTTATTTCCCCCATTTTAAGAAAACTGAGGACACATTAGTCCATTTTCCTTTTTGATACCCTTTCTTTAAAAATAAATTTAAAAGATATAATTCAGCTTCTAAGATTGTTGGCCATTAGTTTTTAATCAAGTAGACAACTTTCTAGTTAAAAGAGGAAAAAAGAAATTATTTAATTGATTTTCTGACTGGCCATAAGGAATGGATGATCTTTAATTCTGTTTTTCTCATTTGATTTTATTCTTAGCCAGGGGCAGTAAGAGGTAAGAGAATCCTTTTTGGGAACTTGAAAGGAAAAATGAACTAATTATTTCTATAAAATTCTTACTATTTTTAGAATATGGACCTGGCTAAGCTAGAAATCCTAGAAATGGAACTAATCACTCACGGTAGATTAGGAAGAGGATGAAATTAAAATAGCATCCTCAAAAATCCTTATCATTTTTTAAACACTTACTCCATTATCATAGTTAAATTTGGAAAATTTTATGTGTTTATGCAATGTAAGTGATCAAAATAATCTGTTAAGGAAGACAGTATTTGCTTTTCTTTTTTTTTTTTTATTAGTTGGAGGCTAATCACTTTACAATATTGTAGTGGGTTTTGCCTTACATTGACATGAATCAGCCATGGATTTACATGTNATTTTCAACAATGAAGAAGATCTGGGTTTGGGGATGTAATATGGACTCCAGGGGGTGGTGAGGACAAGGAGGTGTGGTGTGCTGCAGTGCATGGGTTGCAAAGAGTTGGGCATGATTTGGAGACTGAGCAATAACAAAATGAATGCAGAGGAGAGTTGATTGCTTTGGAATGCTCAAATTAACTTGTTCATTAAGTACTCATCTTTGGATTTTTGCCCTTGAAATTCATATAAGTCATGATTGAATAACCAGTAGTGAACTAATCAATATTAGATCCCTGATGATTTCATAATGAGAACTTTAATTATGTTGTACTTATGGTTGGAAAAGATAATTGATAGGCACTATTAGGGCATAGGATTTGGGGGAACAATGATAATATGGTTACCACTTGTAGGATTACCCCTGATAAACTTAGGAGCTGAAGGTTAATGATACAGCCTCATCTGAGAGAGAGTGGGGGAGATGATGATAGTGATCACTGTCATCGTCAAAAGGAGAATAAGAAAATTATCATCTCTTGATGTTTATATTATTTTTAAAATTTTATTTTTATGTTTTTAACACCAAAAACATTTTCTGTTAGGGTATAGCCAATTCACAATGCTGTGATAGTTTCAGGTAAACAGTGAAAGAACTCAGCCACACATATACATGTATCCATTCTCTACCCAATCCCCTTCCCATCCAGCCTGGCACATAATGTCGAACAGAGTTCCATGTAATGTTTGTGTTATTTATCTGTTGCTCTATAACAAATTACTAAAATTCAGCTGCTTAAAACAACAAAAAAATAGTATAGCATCTATGATATCCCTTAGGTCTCTTATGAGGTTGCCTTCAAAGTATTGGCCAGATGTGTGGTCTCATCAGAAGGCTCAACTAGGTAGGATCTGTTTCCAAATTATCAATGTGGTTGATGGCAGGAATTATATCCTTGTGAGTGTCTGACTGAGGGTCACAGCTCCCCACTGACTATTGACATTAGTTTCTTGTGATGAGTGCCTCTCCACAGGACAGTTTAAAACATGATGTTTGCTTCCCTTAGAAGTAATGATAATAATAATAAAAGAGAGGAAAAAAAGCACACAGAAAGTATTAATAGAAGCCAGAGCTTTTGTAACCAAATATCATAAGTGACAGCCCATCATTTTAATATATTCTATTTACTAGAAGCTAGTTACTCAGTCTAGCCCACATTCAACAGAGCGGACTAGAGGAGGGAATGAATATCAGATGATGGGAATCACTGGTGGTCACATCAGAGGCTGCTTACAACAATATTACACAGTTTTATCCATATTATCTCTATACATTGTTGTCTAAAAGGTTAATTTTGATTGTCAGTTTGGATTATCCGTGAGGCGCCTCTACAGACAGCTTCTGAATTCTGGTTTAAACCAATTGAGGGTGAATTAATATGAAGAACCAGGATCACAGTCTTGAATCTTTTACCTCTAATAAATAATAAGCCTTGGATACCTGGAGAAGTGGTCTAGGCAGAGAAAAATAATAAGGCCTAAGTAAACTGTCAAATGCTTTACAGAAGGAATGGGACAAAGCTGAATATATGTATGTGTGTGTGTGTGTGTGTGTGTGTGTGTTTACATACATATACACATATATATTTCCTAATGTGTGTGTAGATATATATACACACACTCATATATGTGTATATATGAGTGTGTGTGTTACATATGTATTTCCTAAACCATATTTTTCTTTATACTACCATGCTAGGGTAAGATATAAATGAGGAAAGATTCCAGAAGCACTCAAGAATGAATGTGTTTTCAAGAAAAACAACCAATGTATTATATTTGTCAAAGGCTCAGAGATATCTGGCCATTCAGTGCCTTGGGTTCAGAAAGCCAGGCTGGGGACAGGTGATAGTTTGTGGTCCTGGTACTAATATCTGACTTAGTAGTTCTATGACAGTGGTTCTCAACTGGGGATGATTGTATGCCCCAGATTATATTTGGTAATATCTGGAAACATTTTCATTGTCACAACTGAAGGGATGCTTCTGGCATCTACTGGATAGAAGCCAGGGTTTCTGCTAAATAATGCATAAGACAGATTTCCACAATAAAGAATGATTTAACTTCAAATGCTAAGTGCCAAGGTTGAAAAATCTAACATACATTTTCAATGATTTTGAAACGCACTTCTGATGTAATGCCACTATCCATGAAGGTAGCAGACCTAATGTTTTTTTTCATTAGGGGACTGTTTGTTATCTTAGTTATCTTATTCATTAGTATCTTGTTTTTCATATCATGAATTTGCCAAATTTGCTTTCTACCAGGATTCCAGAAAAATTCTCCAGCAAAATCCAGAAACGCATGATATCAACTTTTACAGTTTTTTACCAGTGTCTAGAGAAGTCTTCATTGTGATAACAACTTACACTAAATCTTCTACTGACAACTGTCTGGCACCAATGGCTTCTAAGAAAAGCTCTTTCAAGAAATTGTTTAAAGATATCTAGGACTGTGTAGGGGATACAGAGGTGTATGACACCCACAAAATTATGAGGGTAGTTGCCTTCTTCTTGGCACCAATGCAGGCTGCGTATTGACTGATGTTAAATATACTTAGAATGAGTTCT